GCGTGGATGATTCGTAGGCCATTGGATTGCCTTACTTTCTCCTTTGACCAGAGACTCGTGTGGATGTGCTCATCACAATCGCCATGCACCTTTGTTCTATCGCCCTTGGATTTGTTTGTAGCCCGATCTGGTGGATAAGATTGAGTCAACATATGTTGACTCCCACATCCCTTTGACTGGGGTCAACAGCACCCTTGTTGGGCCTTATCCTTGAGCCTGTGATATAACACCCCTCTCTTTTCTATTTTACGTTCCATTTATTTTTTATTTTTTTATTTTGTTTATGTCTGGATAATGGGTTGTTGGCCCATTCCCTCCATAGTTTTGCTACTTGCATATATCCCCATAATGTCTTTCAAACCTCTTCTTTTATTTCTTTATTTTGCCTTTATTAGTTTAATTTTAATTGCTAAATTAAATACTTTTTGATTAAAATTAATATTTCAAAGAATTAAAAACATTGATCCAAAATCAAGTGCTCTTTTCAAAAACTCATCAACTTTCGATGAATCCTAAATCAAGCACTTGATCCTATCAAGTTATTTTCAAATTTAATTGCTTCAAAAACTCTTGTTTTCTCAATAAATATTTGGTTGAAAAAGGATTAGACCAACGTACTTGTCCTCCCTAGTTCCCGGGTACTTGGATGATGGTTGTACTTAGCCTACCGTTTGAGTACTCATCTTCTGCTTTAAAATACATTAAATAACCGAGTCATGTTCATTCTTTCATGGACAAAAAAGACTAGTTGAACGTAATTGTCCTCTTTAGTCCTAAGTATTTTTGTGATGGTCATACCTAGCCTCCCGCGTGAATACTCGTCATCCGTTAAAAAAAGCATGACTTAATTCTTCGCACAAATTTCATAAATAATTTGGATGAAAAAGGTTTAGTTGGACGTACATGTCCCTCCTAATCTCGAGTATTTGGATGATGGAGATACTTAGCCTACCGTTCAAGTACTCGTTATCCACTTAAAAACACACCCAACCAATCAAACTCATATGTTCTCACCCCCGCGTGATCAAAAACCTTTTAACAAATGGACAATGTTTTATATATTTTACTATGATACAAACAAACACTTGAGACTCCAATTACGAGCATACAAGCAACGTTTAACCGCTAGAATGTGACCTAAACATTAGTTCACTAAAATCAACCAACCAATACGTGATTTTTGTACCAAGAACTACGTGACTTTGAATTCCTCATCGCACCTGAGGATACATAGGAGCAAAACCCACAATCTTGTCAAGCACCTTAATAAAAACCTTTTTTGCGACCTTTTCTTTTTTCTTTTAAACTTTTAATAATCATAAGTAAACAAATAATGAAAGCTAACAATCTATTGTAAATCTAACTAAATGGTTCCCATTAATTACAATGAATGTGAGGAATGATAATACCTTTCCCTCGCATAATCAACTCCTGAACCTGAATTTGGTTGTGACGACCATTTTCTTTTTTATTTTAAGGGTTTTATCGATATTTTCTCTTTTCTTTTTGAATAAATAAAGTTTGATTGCTACGTTGTTATCATCTCGTGCATGCGAGCACTCCATGTATTCTTCGTGCCATGACAGACTTTTTACCAAATAGTGAATTAAGGAATGAAGTGGTTAATATTCACCCTAAACAACAAATAGAGTTTCGAACAGTTAGTCTCTAATCAAAACTGAGATTTTGCACAGGTTGATATCGAACCAAGATGGAGTTTTGAGTAGGCTATCCTCTCAATCGAATCCAAGTTTTGCACAGGCTGGCCATGAAACAATTCGCAATTTTATCGGGATGTCTTGAACCTACTAAGCTTTTACACTAGTGAGATTTTATGCTAGGTTGACCTCGAATCGAATAAGCGTTTAACTGGTCTGATCTCAAAATTGGTTGTGAATATTTTCTCTGGGTACTATTCATAAACCCAAAAGGAAAGCTTTCTTCAATGGCAGAGCTCACAAAACAAACAAAGACTTATAATAATCCCCAAAAGAGCTTTTAATATTGTTTAGATCCAAACCAAAAGAATTAATCCCTAAGGAAGAATGATTTAATCGAGATAAAATACTACTCTTGGTAAATGTACAACAAATCCATCAACCAGAACAAATACTTCACAAAACTCAAGAACGCTTTCGAAACACTATGGCTTAAATTTATATAGAGATATTTGAGAGAGAGGAAAAGTGAGATTTTTCACGTTTTATAGATGAAAAATGGTGTAATTTTGGAAACAATTCATGGGTCAAATTAGTGACCCAATAGATTAGCTAACTGATTAGGTACTTGTAGTAATTGGTTATTGCTTTCAAAATTGGAAGGTTTTGATAGTGAGACATTATCGTTGATTAATAAATTAGCACAATCGACTATAGTCTCAAAAATCCATTATCTAATTGATTATGGAATGTATCTTATCGATTAGACAATTGAAAAAAGTCTTCTAATCAATTGAAAATTTTCCTAATCAACTGACTTGCCTCCAAAAACATTTTTGAAATTTTAATTATAAAAAAAGGCTCTAGAATACTTTTTAGTGTGTGTGTGTGTGTGCGCGCGCGTGCGCACGCGCGTGTGTAATTTATCCATACTACTTCCTGTCTTTCAAACTCTGAAGGTTCAAGTCCTTTTGCCAAATATACCAATCATTTAAGCACTTTCACTTGAATCTTCAATTTGATGAGGCTTGAGATATTTCAAGTTAGTCACCGTCGTCAGATAGTTGTAAATATATCATCAGTGCTCATAAACCTTAATTCTTCGTGTGAGATAATCTTAGTTTGATTGGTAAGGATGGCTAGCTTTAATGATTGATTTGACTTCATGATTTGTTATCATCAAAACCACTTTATGTGTTATCATCATCAAAACCATGTTATCATCAACCCTAAGCAGTTGTTTCTTAAGTCTTGCTACTATGAGCTTTAACATCATGAATCACCTGCAAGCACATGGTTCCACAAAGAGGTCTCCTCCTAGAAGTGTGTGAAGGGATAATTGGACAACATATAGGCGCCCGAGCATTGGCCAAAAAGGTTTTAAGAGCATAGTTTTACTTGCCATCCATGGTCCAAGATGCCAAGGAGTATGTGAAGAAATTTGACCAATGTCATCGGCATGTTGATATCTCCCTGGCCGTTTTCTCGGTGGGGTTTAGAAATCCTCGACCCCTTTGCTCCAAACCTATATCAACTTAAGTATTTGATAGTGGCGGATTAATTATTTTACAAAATGGGTCGAAGCATAAGTTTTGACAAATATTATAGAAACTAACATCTTAAAGTTTTTCAAGAGAAATATTCTACCCAAATTTGGAGTCCCTCAAGCCATTGTGATAGATAATGGAACACATTGCATAGAGAGAAAGCTAAAGAGCATTTCGGAGGAGCTGAAAGTTAAGCAACGCTTCCAGAAGATAGTCTAACTCCCATTATGAGCTATGGACATTTTCACTCATTATTGCCACAACGCATGCCTCTTAGAGACATTTTTTTAGGTGGGATTACCCTCCCCTACTCATCACACTCACGATTTAGAACCATGGAAAGCGTTGGGAAAGGTATAAAAAGGAAGGGAAAGAAAACACAATACTTGGATTAAGACGGAAGAAAGGAAGACTTGAGCATTTTGGGGAACTCATGAGAGAGAGAGAGAGAGAGAGAGAGAGAGAGTTGAATGTGTTCCTAAAATGGTTAATGAATGATTTTGATGGTAAAATTACTATTTAAATAAGGTGTTTGGGTACACAAAGGGTATCTTAGGTAAAATTCTAAAAAGCCCTAGTAGTACGATGCAATGATGACAACGAAGGAGTTGCAAGTTCTAATAAAAATAAATCATGAGACATCAAGTCACTTCTTAAATCGTAGAAAACTAAGAGTTCGGTGGCAGACAAAAGGCAGCAGGCCAAGGCGGAGTTGGAGTTAGAGAATGATCTCGAGTTTTCTTTGATTCAGATACCCCTAAGGCTCAATGCTTAGGGAATTGTATACATCCCAAGAAATTTGAAGGGTCGGATTTGGAGTTTGGTTGAGTAACAAAGTCTAATTAGTTTGGATGACCTCACTCTAGCATTTGCCCCTCAGGGCCTCATGTTTGAAATTTGGGTTATTATTAGGGTGGGCAGAGCCACAACAAGACAAAAATGTGACAAAGATCATTTGAGATCTCTGTGGGTAAAGCATTTATGAGCAATTACCATAATGTTCCAACATGTCCCCATAATGATGATTACCAAATAAATTGTCATTAATTCAATAGCATTTAAGACTTTGTCTTGGATCGCAAGAGGAAGAGAAAAATTAGTATAAATGAAGATACCTAAGAAACTAGAAGGATAGGACAATTCAAGCGTAGAAAATTATCTATTACATCTCTTACGGCCTAATATCAATTGAATCATCAACTAATGCTCTTTGTGTAAATAATATTGTATCAAATACATAAAATAATAAAATATTATTATTTTTATCATATGTCCATCGAATACATGTTATAATATTATGAATCGTGTAATTCAAATATTATATAATTGTCCAATTTATTATCGTAGTTTGTCTCTATCTTATCTTATCTCATATATCAAACAAATTTTAAAAATATATTGATAAAAAATATAAGAAATATTACATTACTATCTTAAGAAAAACAATTTTTTTAATTTAAAAAATAATAAGTATTTTTAAAAAGAGAAATATTTATATATAACATTTAGTCTAATAAATGGAAAAATAGTGATGTGTTCCTGTCTTGGCATTCTAGAAAGCCCTTAAGAAAAAATAATGCAGCATTTGTTTCATTTTTTTCCTTTAACAGACAGCACACAGTTAACCACCATCCCTCGTGGCAAATTAAATTACCCTTTATACCCCTAAATTTATATTCATCCTCACTTTTTACTGAACTCTATATAAAAAACTCGCCACACAATGTTTCTGCACAAAACCCAAGAGATTCCCATTCCCATTTTACCCTTCTCAATTCTCTGATTCAATTTTTCAATGGCGACAATGCTCGGTTTCACCGGCCTCTCCTCCCGGCCACTTCAATTCTCCGATGACTGCTCCAATAGCTCAAATCGGCGCATGGTTTCCGTCCGAGCCTCGGCGGAAGTAGTTGACACACGGAGGCCGGCGAGTACTCTCTACGAAGTTCTACGACTGAAGCCCGGAGTATCTCATTCGGAGATCAAATCGGCTTACCGAAGTCTGGCGAAGGTTTACCATCCCGACGCGGCGGCGCAACGATTACCGGAGTGTGACGACAGAGACTTCATCGAAATCCGCAAAGCTTACGAGACGCTCTCTGATCCCTCAGCGAGAGCAGTTTACGACATGTCGTTGATGGCGGCAGTATGTGAGAGGAAGAGACAGTTTTCGGCTTCGGTGACACCACAGAAACGGTATTCGAGATATGTAAGATGGGAAACGGACCAATGCTGGTAGAAAGCGTTCATCTTGTTTCGGATTTTAACAAAGAAACTTCACAGAGAAAAAGAAAAAAAAAAACAATTGAAAAATAGGAAATTAGAAAGAGAGTGATGAGATTTGAAATGTTTTTTTCTATTGGTGAGTGAGAATGTAAATGTTTTTTCCCTCATATTTTCTTTAGTGAGTAATTTTTAAAAAAAAGAAATAGTTGTTACTCTCTCTGTATTAAAAAATAATTTGTTCTAAAATACTGTGTATTTCAATTTTTATTTATAATAATTTAACTTTTATTTTTATTTTACCATAGTTCTTTTTAAGTAATATTTCGGATATATTCTTCTCTCATTTTTGTCTTAATGATAGTCATACTAAAACCTTAAAAAAATTTAGTCAAATTATTATTCCTTTTATATTTATATTACATTATATTTTTGTGTTTAAAATAAAGATGACAACTTGACTCGAAAAAAATGCATAAAACTAAAAAAAATGACAACTGTACATGCAAAATAATACTACCAAATAAAATAAAAATCTAAAATATGAATGACACCTAGATCTGCAAAAAGATATCATTAAAACAAAAATTTATAAAAGGAATATAGAATAATTTTCCAATAAAAATACTAAATCTTTAGTACCACCGAATTATAAGTCAGCCTAATATATATTTATATTTTTTTTATTATTATTTAATAATATATATCTATCAATTTTAAAAAATAGGTTACTATTAAACTATTATACATTTTAATATAAATGTTCACTTTTTATTATTAATTCATCAAAAAAATTAAATTTTTTTAATGATAATAATTTAAATGCGGTGGTGTTCAAACAATATGGATTTGTGTCCGGAGATTTTCAAGAATCGGAGATGGATATTTTTTAGCATAGTCATCACTTGGCTTGTTCTTTTGGGACGGATGAATTAAGAAAATAATATTGTACTTTAAATTTTAAACACAATTAATGTGTGTGCGCCTTTAAGGTGAATTACTTGGACAGAGGAAAAGAATTAAGGCAATAAAAGTTAGATGACTCTTAAAAACTGTAAATATAGTGGCAAACTGTTGATCTCTTTCGCTCTTACTCGACAATTGTCATGTAAAACTCATGAAACGAACAACGATAACAAATTCAAATCAGCAAAGTACATGCACACAATGCTTAATTGTCACGTAAACATTGATACCACATAACCCTTTTTTAAAATGACTGAGTAATATTTAAGAAAACAGACATGCAAACAATGATTTTTCTCCTTTCAGTGGGGTCCTCTTCTCTTCCTCCGTGAACTTCCCAAGGTATATTTTTCTTAAACAATCCATGCTACCCCACTAACATCAACCCATGTTTGAGAAATGTCAGACTGAAAATTAACTTCTAACGCCAAACAGGTTTTTTTATATCCAAATTAATAATTCAACTCACTTTTACATAATTATACCCAAACACTAGTTTTTTACATTCAATTCCCTTTATAACTAAAATTAACTAAAATTAATTTGTTATCATAGAACTAAAATCATTCCTAAATAATCCATTTCCTTATTAGTAAACACTTCAACAACAAAAATTGGCCGTTTTAATTCTGAATTAAAGAAGAAAAAAGGTGTGCCCTTATAGTATGTGAAAATGGAGGTAGTAATAAATAGACAACCATGTAATACACAGTTAAATACAGAACTCTGAAAGGAGTGGAACATGTTTATAAACCACTAACAGATAATAGAAAACCGGCTTATTTGCTTGTATATGAACACTTGTAGTTGCACACTTTGTTAGACAAAAATATAAATTCCTTCTCTACATCATAATCCTGTTCAAGTTGACACATGTCAGAAATTAAAAATGAAACAGTATCTAAATTGAAATAGAAAAGAACTATGTCCAGGTGAATAATTGACATAATTGACAGATGAAACTTTACTGATTTTGACCCTTCCAATGAAACTCACAGCTTTGTACAAAATTCCAATCGTACTAGAAGAGATCAAAGACAAATTTACTCAGTTCTATAAATAAATCATTTACATGTCGTAAGCATGGAGTTGATGACATGCAATAAAAGGCGGGTACTTGAAAGATCAGCACCGGTGATTGTAGGCAAGCTACGTTGATGATTCAGTATTTGATAGACTTGTTCGAATATGGGCCGGACATGCATTGTAATCATGGGATCTGAGGGATTAATGGCAGTAGCCACATCTGTCATCCATGCGATCTTTCGGGACATGTCGTTGTTAATATCACACGCCAACTGCTGCAGAAGAGAAAGCACTGCACCTTGACTTAAGGGAAGAGGAACCATTGTCAAAAGTCTATGTAAATCAACCTGCACATCAAAAATAAAGTGATTCTCTCAATGGTCAATTGCACCACAACAACTCGAGACTCAATCTAATGCTTGGCTGAAATAAGGGCTAATAAAATGCAATAAATTAAGTCAATGCTCTCAGAATTAAGTTTATTTAAACCACCCTCAGAAATAAGTTTATTTAAACCACTCCCTCGCAAAGATATTCCCGATAATGCACCAAACAAACCACCCGTCTTAACATGATGTAGGTTCTATTTGTATATTTGAAGTAAGGTGAATGGAGAGCTTTCCTCAGCAACAACAATTCCAAAACAAAGGAAAATGTGATAGGGAGAACTGGATGGTAATGATAGATAGTAATTATGTCGACAATTCATATACCTACATGCCACAAACCAGATATCTAACTCAAGTTGAACCAAATTGCAAACCACTGACTTTTGGGCTATGTTTGGATATATTAAAATGAATAGAGCAGAATGGAAATGAGCGGAGTGGAATGAAGCGGAATGGAACAGAATGGATTAATGGTTCCCTTCCGTTGTTTGGATATTTTAAGACGGAACAAAGTCATTTTCTCGTTCTGCAGAAATTAGAAGGTAAGAAAATGGTGGAAAGTGATGGAATAGAATGGAATAGATACCACTCCGTTCCGCCGAAATCTGAAGGTAAGAAAATGGTGGAAAGTGATGGAATAGATACCATTCCATTCCTCCGAAATCAGAAGGTAAGAAAATGGTGGAAAGTGATGGAATAGAATGGAATAGATACCACTCCATTCCGCTTCATTCCATTTGATTTTAACTAATCCAAACAATGGAGTTTTGTTCTTTTCCATCCCAATCCATCACATTCCGTCAATCCAAACAAAGCCTTGGGTTTTTACACAACTTCCTTTTCTGAAGGTAGTGTTTGGTTGGGTTTATTTCATTGTTTGACTCATTCTTTTGAAAGGGGAGGACCAAAATCACTCTTCAATTTTTGGTCCGTGGAGATTCGGACGAGAGATGTGTTTATAAAAGTTTAGATGATTGACGAAAATATCCTTACATTAAATAACCCATGATATCTTACAAAGGTTTCAAAAGTATCGTAATACTTTCCCCACATTAAAATCCCTCCTCTCAACTAAATAAAATATCTTATTGAATGCTTACCCTCTGCTCCATTAAAATTTCTACACACCCTAATCCAATCAAGGGAAACGCATTCTAATAAGAGAGAACTGTCTGTTAAATTTAAATTAAGGAAACATTTCTGGCATACCTGAGAGCATAACCATGATACAATAGATACATCACTTCTATGCAATGCTGCAATAAATGCCTCCTCATATTTCCGTTCAGAAATCAATCTTGATAGCTCCTTTGTGGGATCTAGAGGTGCCTCAACCTGATTTGCATAACAAAGATGCAATTGTCATTACTACCATATAAATCAATAGTATGGCCAATTGTCGATCCCTTTCAACAAAAAAGACCAGCAAAGGTTAGTCAAGTTCCAACCTTTTCATGAAGTAATGGACCATTGTTCAGCTGGATGGGCAGAGTACTCAATGTGCCTGAGCTTGTTCTTGAGGTTGCAAGTGACATTAGCTTTCTCTGACCCTCAAGCACTTCTCTACTCAAGGTTTGAGTAACTGATGAAGCTGAATTAATAGAATCCTGCCAAAAACATCAAGAGAAATACCAAAATTGAGATACAAAGACATTGGCAAGCCATATAAGGGTACCATGTCCAAAACTCAAAACCAATCACTCCTATTCAGCTCATGAGAAATATATCACCTTGAGTATAACCCAAGAAACTAATAGTTCTTAGAAAAGATTCCACGACACAACCATACATCAAGCAGAACATGTAAGTCAGCAAAACAGCCGACATATGTGGACCATGGCGGAAAGCCAAAAATCGAATATACCAGCATTAGCAGACCATGGCGGAAAGCCAAAAATCGAACATACCAGCATTAGCAGACCATGGCGGAAAGCCAAAAATCGAACATACCAGCATTAGCAAACCATGGCGGAAAGCCAAAAATGACACAACAGCCGACATATGGCACCGCCATCCTCTATGTTGTCAAAAGCCGCTATAGTATAGCACTGTGGTGGTAGGGTTTGCAGCGACGTTTTTGGTCTGCTAGCCTCTGTCAGTAATAGCAGTTGTTGTGGCCACTAATTGCAGCCGCAAACAGCTATCATATCCGCTATTAGGGTTTCGGGGATAAATTCCTCAAATTCTTTCAAGAGAATAAGTTTTAACCCGAACCCTTTAAGAGTAACGATGTGATCTTTATTTTGTTATGTTCCTGCTCAAACAATCATTTTGTTCTTCCTACCTTTAGTTTAGTTTCGTTATGGTCTTTTCATCTTAAGTTGTATTGCTCTAAATGTTAGGTTCTTCAACTTTTTCTTAAGGTTCTGTAACTATTAAGTATGAAAGTCTCTTTAACTTCGTATATTTTTCTAGTTTTTAATATTTAAGTTTACTTTGTCAACTGCTTTTTCATCTTTGCAATAGCAGCTATCCCCTATACCACTATAGCATTTTAGGAGGTTGGTGCCCTGCAAATGCTATCTGAGATTAATAACATAGGCCCATCCTTCACAAATTGCCATATCAGTTTTCCAAAAATCCACCACCGATATCAGCTATGGCGAATATGTTACAACACTGATGCTGGAGGTGT